TCATCCCAAAGCTTAGTTATACTAGAATTATCACTTTACAGTTGTATGCCTCCAACAACCAGTCAAATTCACAGAAATGGGACAGACATGAGGTCACAAAACCTTAGACCACCGAAATGTAATCGGTTCATCCTTGAGTCCAAGTGGACACTTGTGCCAAATTTGAAGAAATCCCCTCAAGATGTTCATGTTCACAAGTGTGGTCCAGACAGATGTACAGACCTCCACCCATAGTTATCATTGGCAATGAGATATAAAAAGCCATTGTACTTTATACTACAGTTTCTGACATTGGACATTCTAAAAAAAATATTCAGATGATTTTGTCACAGCCTGGAAACTGGACACCCAAATACAGACAATGGACAAGGAAATCATGGCAAGAAAACAAGGATTTACTAGATACACATCCTGTAAATAGAAATGACGGATATGGGAACCAAAAAATACAACAAGAACAACAAAAAAACTCAGATAAGGCAAAAGAACTACGACTAAGCAATTAAAGAGACAAATCAGTGGCAAACACACTGGCTTTGAACCACACCACAAACACAGATAACAGAACGGACTCAGGAGATAACTCTGCATGGGGAGGAACATACATACAAATAAATACTCACAAGACATAAAGGAAACATCCATGTACATGATAGTACAACAAGTAACAAAGTGAGCAGAGAAACAGGTTACGGGGAAAAAGGGGGAACAGGCACTTAAAAGTCTTTGAAGCATGAAATCTCAGCTGACAACCTACCAGAGAATGAATGTAGCTAACTGGCTTTTATGTACTGGTTGGCTGATTGCAGTAATGAGGAACAGGTGGGTAATCTGAGGCAGGTAAAGCTAGAACACAAGGAAATACAGCAAGTGGCGAGAGTGCCTCAATGTAAAAGCTCAAAACAGGAAGTGCAGTTGAATCGTGACAGCTCTAAAATGTCAGATTTTTGTGTCTGACCCTCAGCACCGAAGAGAAATAGTTGCATTTTAAACCTGCCAATAACATTTAAGCAGGAAGAAATAAATCATAAAAGAGGTTGAGACACCCATTTGTCATCCACTAGTATTCTCAATAGCCCATAATGCGGTGCAGCCACAAACCCATAATATTATATGTAACATACAATTACAGTAGTTTACTCTTCAGATAAGTTTAGTTCAGACCAGCTTTATAAAAAGTAGAGAAATGGCTGTATAACTGTAAATTTTAACAACCATTAAACAGCTTAAATGCTCTCTTTTTTAAATTCAGAGCATGTTCTCGCTAGGCTGTTTGTAAACAGCAAAGCTATATCTAATTCAACAGCACAGTTATTCAGCATTGTTTTACAGTACATGTCAGAAAGAGGAAGGCCAAGTCATGTTAGAACAAAGATATCTGTCCCTGTGTGGTTAAGGAAGAAAATAATAATTATAATCATATGGGGTGGCATGGTTGAGCAGTGGTTAGTGATGCTGCCTCACAGCAAGAAGGTTCCAGGTTTGAGCCCGGGCTTTGCTGTGCAGAGTTTTTATCTTCTCCCTGTGCCTGCTTGGTTCTCTCGGAGTACTTCAGCTTCCTCCCACAGTCCAAAGGCATACAGCTTAGGTTGATTGGTGACTCTAAATTGCCTGTAGGAGTGTGTGTGGTTGTCTATCTCTAAGTGTCAGCCCTGTGATACACTGGCAGCCAGTCCAGGGTGTACCTCGCCTCTCACCCAGTGTCAGCTGGGATTGGCTCCAAACCATACATTACAGTGTGTCAGATCACCAGGTAGGGCCTTTTAAAGGTTGTTGTTAATGATGACATAAATAGGCCATTTTATTTTATTATATTATTATTTTATTTTTATGTTTTATTTGGTGAACATATTGTTCATGTATGAGTCATGAGTTGTTTAATTCCAGAAAGCCTTTTATTCATAGTTATATATATATTTTTTAGTATTTAACATGAACTTGGCAATAATGCATGTGATCTCTCCTCAAACAATTGCTTTTATGCCAAACAAGATAGAAAACTGTGGGGGGAACAGCCAATTTGAGAGTCTGCTTAAGACACTCATTGAAACCCAGAGCTGGTCCTCAGTGCAGCAACAGTCTTTTTCTATCAAACAGCAATGGGGAGAGAGAGAGACTGTTCACAGAATATTATGCATTCATCAGTCTTGAAGAAGTCATATTGGAATATTGTATCTTTCTCTTTCTTTAGCTCCAAGGACAAATTAGAAATTAGCTTCTTCACTATGTTGTTGGAAAACCACAGATAGCTTCCCTGTGTGTTATGCTTGAAATTACCATAGTAGAGCTGCAAATTCAACATAAACTGAAAACTCTGACAATTTTGCAGACCTCACATGATCAAAACAAACCAACAAACTGGACTGGACAGAAGCCAACCAACAATTCTACAATGGCCTGACCGTGGTTTCCACAGCAACTGCGCCTTAATTGATTCCTTCTCTAATTAACATGCTTTAAGGACAGCTGGGCCAAGCACCATTGTGTTAAACATCCCCCTAAACAGCACTGTTATTAGCCTAATACCCAAGTGGTTATCTGGATGGTGTTGCTGCACAGCATTCTGTTGTTCGACAGAGCATTTGCTCGAGAACTCATGGAATGTGCATTGAATTATTTAGTTGCTTTACATAATAAAGAAGCTTTAACATGGTTGCTGTTCAGAACTAAGGAATCAGTTTTCCCTCTTGTGGTCTATCTTACATGATCACATACACTATTTTTCCCGTACAGACTTTAGCTGAAATACCTGAGTCCCCCAACCAAAGCTTTTCTTATTCTTACACAGCATGTCAAAGCCTCAGAACAGATGCAACCAGTACAAAATACACAAAAAGCCTGTCACCAGGTTGTATAATTAGCCAATTCATAGCCATAAAATGCAAAAATGTCACAAGCATGTACAATAATATTGTTCTGATTTAATCTAAGTAATCGTCCTCTACACAACAGTCTATTTGTGAAAAATGATCCTTCCAGTTATTGTCAGTTGCTTTCATTTTTTTACAGTGAGTATAAGTGATATGTTTTACCTGCTTCTGCTAAAGGGCCCACTTGAGTTTCATGAAGCCTGGCCTTGGTATGGTTTGTACATGACTCATTTGACTGTAGCACTTATTTCACCCACTCAGATCTGTGTATGTTGGTGGGGGGGAGGGGGTTCACATTCACACAGGGTTATAAATGGGATATATGACAGATGTAATGAATTACAATGCCTAAAGTACCCACTAGTGTCAGAATCATTTTTAGTTTCCTCATCCACTTTCCTTTGTAAAAGGTAATAATAACTACTCTGCTATTAAGATGGAAACAATACCAGTGTGTACTTAAAAGTCCCTGTAATGACACTAACACTGAGGGGCTGCAGAATTACTGTTGGTAATCAAACATTTATTTGTCAACATCAGCTAGGCTTTGTGTACAGTAGTGATTATTGGCTTCATTATTTTTGCTTGTCAGTGCAAGGCCTTGACTGTGGGAATTTACTCTTCAATCCCCTTTCACAGGACAAAAATCTCAATAGCTGCTGACTGGATGCACGGGTGGAGCCAAGGAGGTGGCCAGGGGTGGCACCGGCCACTCCCAGAATTTGATTGGCCACCTCTCTTGCCACCCCTGCTAGAGTCAAAATATGATGCTTGTCAGTATTAATAAATAAAACATGAAAAACAATGATGAAATGTTTATTCTGGGAGACAACTGGATAAAAGTCAATCACTGTCAGGTGTGTTAAGTTACAGGATGTTAGTCATCTCGCACCACCCCAAGCCCCAACCCCATTCTTCCCCTCCCACCTCTCAACATGATTTGAGTGGTTGTTCCCTCCATGTGAAGGTCAGATGTATACCAAGATTGATCTTTGTCAGCTTTTCATGAATGTTTAATTGTATAGGTGTATGTGTGTGAAGCTGAGCAAACTGTGTGCATCTGAGTTGTTCCACATGTTCTACAAATCTGTTATTTATGCCTGTCTTTTTTACCTACTTACTCCCAAGCAGCATTTGTTTTGTTGTGTCAGGCATGTGTGTGATGGAACAAAGACCACCTTGATGATGATAGACAGCAGGACGGGCCAGCAGGTAGTCCAATTAGTTAGCCCCATGCTGAGAGGGAGGAACATCATAAAGAGAAGTTTACCATGCTCAAGGCTGAGGGACTTTTTATGCAGAACTCCAGTAAAAGTGTGCAGTGATCTACAAGTCCAGGTGTTGATTACAGTTAGATACAACAGTGATGTTTAAGTACAAGCGATATTTTGTGTGTGTCAGTAAATTAATCTGAAAGTAAAGTAAGATGTAAATGGAGGAGTCATGAAAAGTGGCATATGAAAGGTATACTACGTGAAATTTAATGTTTTGATGTTTTGAGTTTAAAACTAAATTTACACATCGGAGTCTAAAATAAATAGCATCTATAAAACATCATTTTGTTAGCAATCAATGCTTCTCTTAAAATGTGGTTGTAATTAAATGCAATACATCATCCTACTACCCAGGGCCCTCAGCCTTGTACACCACTCACACTGCTCTTCTGTTTCCCCAGGATGGTATGTGTCATGTCCTGGACCCTTGCTGACATTTAGAACAATTGATATGTCAGGCCAAGTGATCTGATGTGTCAACTTAAGAAGAGAAACACAGAAGACACTAGGAAGCACATTGTTCCACTGGGACACACTGTACCCCTTACCGGTTTCATACTTGTATAGTGTTGCTGTAGCTATAACTCGTATAACCCTATCTTAAGGTTTTCACAAAAGGATTTCAAGTATATTAGATCAGATTTTGTCAAAGACACACAAACCAGTATTAATGGAGCGGAAAAATTCTCAATGACTTGTTTGTCTAATTAGGAAATGAATGATATTTTCAATGTTCAAATCCATGTAATCATTATTTGCTGATGGTTTAACAGACATAGGTAAAATAGATAGAAATTATATTATTATCCATGAAGCAGTGTGTAATGAATCTCATATTTGTGTGTTTGTGGTTCAGGAGATCCAGGAGAGCTTTCCAAAGCTGGGCCAGATCGAGGCCTGGGATGAGCTGAGCAGTGGAGAGACAGAGGAGGGCAGCACCACAGACTGTGACGATGAAGATGGATGTCAAGCATCAGGAGACAGTCAAGAGAAGATTTGTATGTGACACATGCTCACTTCCATATGCACACATGCTCAAATATACATGCACACAAATCCCCTCGCCTCTATTCCTCTTTGGTTTTGACGGCCGCATTGTTGTTGGCAATAGTAATGAACCTATTCTCATACCAGGTTTCTTCCCTCTGTGTATAAAAAACTGCATTCCTTACATTCCTCATGATGCCCACACACATCTTTGTGATGATATACAATATCACTGTGTCATGTTTAATTGTACTCTACCCTTAATTAGTTGATATAGTGTGATATATGACCAAGGACATATTGTATCTGCTTCTGACAAGATCGATTCCTTTCTCTTTTGTTTACATTTTTTTCTGAGAATTGTCACAGAGTCACTATTTCATTCACCTCTTACATGGCATGAGAAATTCAGTCAAAACACATTTTTACAATCGCCTACTGTGTCTCCTTGAAGCTATAGCACAGGTGGTGGCACTTTCTCAGATCCATAAGACAACAAGCCAGTTTACAGTAGGCACACACACACACACATATTAAACCCACGAAAAGGTGTTAGGGATTGTGATGGTTTTAATGAGAATCATTAGATTTCCTGCAGAGGCTTCATGTCATTCATACCTAATTATTACAACCCCAAATCAGAACAAGTTGGGACAGTACATAAAATCAAAATTTTAACTGAAAATAGTGATTTGTAAATCATCCGTGCCATGTATTACATTGAAAACAATATAACAGCACATTATTTGATGTGATACAATTTTATTTTTTGTTCAAAATTACTGCTCACGTCAATTCTGATGCCTTCAACACATTCCAAAAAAGTTGGGACGACAGAATTTCAGGGCCGGTAATGAGGTAAAACAATGAAATGATGATTCCATTTATAACAGGTGATGTCAACAGGTGACTTCATCATGATTTGGTACAAAAATGGCATCCAGGAAAGGCCTAACTCTTTAGGAGCAAAGATGAGCCGAGGACCGCCAGTTTGCCAACATGTTTGAAATGACCGTGCTCTCCCCTCCCTCAGTCAGCACTGCATCAAGAATAATCATTCTTTTGAAAGTGATATAAGCACATGGGCTCAGGATTACTTTAGCACACTTCACTTAATCCTAATTCTTATTCTAAAAATAAAACTGATGAGGTGTCACAGGCAGCACACAATAATGTGCTGCTGTATTGTTTTCAATGTAATACAGGACAGTGATTTACAAATGACTATTTTTAGTTTAATTTTGATACTGTCCCAACTTTTTCTGATTTGGGGTTGTATGCTGGTAATTTTGTCCTGTACAGTTTCTAAAAAAGTCTGGTGTGTGTGGTGTTACTAGCATGTAGGGAGTAAAAAGGAACACGGAGGAGCATGTGCACCCATCCATGCAAACTATAGCTGTAGGTGCCAGGTTATCTATAAAAGCTGGTAAGTAGGCCATCAGGAGATATTGTACACTGAGACATCCAGACAGGCACAATCATTAGATCTTTTTTTTTTTTTTTTGGCATTTCGAAGCGCGTGACTCCAGACACACCAGATGCTGAATCCACAGTCTCTTCATTACTTAACATATCTAATCAATGTTTCCTCCAGACATGGTGACACTTGCTTGGTAATGAAATCCTCGTTATGTCATCACGTTACATGATGACATAACATTGTACATGAGTACATGAGTAACATGTACTGTGCTTGATAAAGTTTTACTTGAGTACTTGCAGTTATATTTAGTTTAAAAAATAATGTAAGAACAGCAATAGTCAGAGCAAATTAGGTAATTTTTGTTACTACAAAAGACAAAAGTCTCATCATGAGGTATTAGACATGGCAATGTACTACATATGTGCAACATAGCAGGCTCAAGACATACAGTAAGCAAGTATACAAAGCTCACAACAGCTAGTGTGGCTTACTGTGCTATCGGTATATCCTAAATCTACTGCTCTAGTTTTACCAGAGGGTAGCACAAGGCTACCCACACTACAATACAGGTACAGCAATACACCAATCAATAGCCATTACCTTCCCAGTTACATGAAGCTCTAGACAGGTCCTCCCTGCTCTGCTCCTTGTTGCAATCTGGATTAAATATACTGTACCAGTCTTCCTTAGAGTTCTGGTGGCAGAGTGAGTGTCCCAACAGCAGGGGGTAATCAATCAAAACCATTGTCTGGGATTTACTAAACAAAATGAGTGACACTTGTCTTATCTGTAGGACAGTGTGTCTTTACACCAGGCAAGCCTAGCTTTGAACTCAGTTGTTATTTGACAACTTCTGAATCTTTCAGGTATGTTATAGAAATTGACATGATTCAAATTCCAGTCATGTCCTGCACTCAAACATTCCTCTGTCAAGCTTTTTGAAGTGACCACTTTGGACTCTAGAGTTTCCTCTGTTAACATTTTTAAGACATCTTTTAGTAATCTGCAATCACCATCTGACGCCTTCTGACACTGTATTTCTTGGCCTCTTGGTATTTTTCGATGACATCTACCTCATTGATCACCATGTGATATTTGAAAATTGAAGTAATGGAATTTACAGCTTAAACCAAACAGATGTTTTATCTTGCATCTGCTAGTGACTTTACAAAAATTAGTTAAACTGCAATTGATTATCCCAACATCAACTTTGGCAACTCGTAAAGGAATGTTTTATGTGGGGAGGATTGTAATGGCTTACAGCTGTATGAGACATATTTTATCACCCATCAGTCTGCGCATTTGTTTGCGTCAGTGTAGCTGTGGCAAAGCTCCC